GATCAATTAATGAATATTTTTTTTCCATTTAATATAAAGCAAGACATTACATGAACGCATTATATGATAACGTTAAAAGTAACTTCGACTAAATTTCGATTAACTTAATGAATAACTCATCCGTCATCAGATGTTCATTTGTATACAATCAATATAGAAGAATTTTAATTTAATCTGGGCAGCCAATTTAATTCACTTTTATTTTCTTCTACTTTTAAGAATAAAAAAAATAAACAATAAATTAAATCAAGATTAAAGGACCTATTGTAGTTGTAACTCTTAACAACATAACACTACAATTGCAGTTGTTAAGAGTTACAGAATAGACTCCTTAGATCCAATTTCACAACTCACGATTATCTCTTAATCAATTTATTTATTATCTCTTTTTAATTCTAGAATTGGAAAGAGATGAGAAACAAGTTGGACCTCGGTTAAGACTTAACCATGAGTTGTGAAACTGGATCTTAAATCAAGTTAATTTACACTTGTAGAATTGTTTGCAATAAAATTTCAAACTTATATAATTCATTGTAAACGAATTTCTTCTTTCTTTTTCACGTTAAATAATATAAAAAGTGTAATTAAACAATAAAATAATAATTATGATGCAAGCAATAATTAAATTAATCGGAATTTAAGTCAAGGTCGTCCAATTATAAAAATCATAGGAAAAAAACCATAAAATCATATATGTTACATGCATGTTAATGTTATCGAATAGAAAATTATAACATTGACGTAATATTTAAGTTGATAATTAGTTGATGTTTTATTCTGGATGGGGATAATTGAAATAAAGGATAAGCCAGCTTATAGCACATACATTGATTTATTATACGATAGATTGTTCACAGCTTATTATTGTTTCTCTATTTTTATAGCAACAGCAAATATACTATAGTTTGGTCAAATTAACAAACGTTTCTCTCCAATCTGCCGTCGATGTGATTATCCACGTCGCTACCGGATATAACATGAATAATTGAGCCGACATCATTGGCAGGTTGTGATACCGGAGGCCAAATCAATCATCCGGGCATGACGGCCTCCGTTCAAATTTGCCATTTATTAGTTTCTTTCTCTTTTTGATAATCATTTTCATAAGAAGACATCCACAAGAGAGGTCTAATTAGATAATTAACTATGTTCACACAGCGCGTACTAAAAGCGTACTAAGAAGTCCTATATCGTCCTTCCACGGTTACTTCCCACGTATCAAAGATACGCGCTGTCCCCCGCTTTTTTTCTTTTTTTTTTGTTCTGTTTTGTTAAACGTTTACACGAAACAACGCAATGTGTAATTCAAAAGAGTTCCCACCCCATCCCCTTTTCCCGAAGAAAAACTCTTAATGTTAAGAAAGTACTCCGCCACGCGCACTACTTTCTCATACGCCCGTCGTCGTTTATGCCGCATTAAATGCCATCGCGATTAACTGGCGAATCCGTCTTATAAGTATAGTCCCTACTTTTATAATATTATATACACTTATTTTTGGCACCAAAGTTGTGAAATTGTCTTTTACATTTTCTTTTTCTCTTTTCCTTCCGCAAATCGCACGATGCCAGCGAAGATCCAACGTGTACGCCGATGCGTCCGAGAGCAGGTAATAGGTATCTTGTTCGTTCGTCTCGTCGGGCGAATCGCTTGGTGATCAATTATAGCACTCGATTAATTCGTGTGCCGATGCACTAACGATCGAAACCTTGGAAGCTCGAGAAACAATACTGCCTCCAATTCGCGTGGTCCTGTCCCCCATCATCGCCCGTTACGCGTGCCAACGATCTTTAAGTACGTCAGCGTGTTTAACGTGTTACAAATCCTATCTCTCCTTTTCTTCTCTCTCTCTCTCTCTCTCTTTTGACATAGTTCATACATATACATCTCTTTGCGTCCACCCATCTTCGTGTCAGGTCTACAATGAATTAGTAGTCGACAGTCTTAAGTCTTATCGGTGAATCGGTGACAAGGTTGGCCACAGCCAAACTTGTACGATTAAGACTACCGGTTTTTTTAAGTTAATTAGTCAAATTTAATTTTTTTCCTTTCCACTGATCGAGCCAAACGACTCGCTGTACAATTAATGTGATTCATTGTGAATGCGAAAAATCGTAATCGCCTACTTAAATTAAGACTTTCGGTTACCGCCTACTGACTCATTGCAGATCCGGTGTTAAGCCTTGCGTTCCATGGTGGAAAACATCATTCCGAGATCTTGGATAGAAAAAGAATTGATA